CAGCTCCAAGAAGTCCAATGCTGAATGCAGTTGACACAAACACACAGTAGCGATGAAAGGAGTTAAGGACACTACTACAGACATTGATTCACTCAAGCTTTCAAGCGACAACACAGAAGAAATGCTCGAGTTGCAGATGGCCTTATTTGAATGGAAGCTCTACTTAATCGGATTCTGACACTCTAAATTCAAACAGAACACCAAGAAATCAAAGCTGATGAAAAGAATCATGCCTAAGATTGCTTCAGAGCCTCAAGTTCCTCGTAGAATACTTGCTTGAACAGCGGCATGTTCTCCGGCTCCATGGCCACCGCCAGCGACAGCCCCCCCTCCACGCCGGAGTCGTGCATGATGTACACCAATCCACTGAACTGCAGCGTCGCGCGCACCATGATCGCCGGCTTCCCCCACCCGAAGTCAGCCTCATATATAGGCAGCCCCAGCCAGCTGATCACCCAGAGATCGGTGCCGGGAATCACCCATGAGCCCTTCTGCAGGCCTCTCACGTCTCGTTGCAGCTCCAAGTAGTCTATCAGCGACCTTATGTAGTCGTCATTTAGTCGAACAGTTGCGTCGTTGATCTTGTCGGCCCCGAACTCCAGCGAATTGGACAGGATCTCCCCGACTTTTGCAACCGCCGATGTTCTAAAGATGCCATTGCCCACAAAGCCTGCGGGAAGCGGCGGCTTGACGCGGGTACGTGCGTCAGCCGTCATGTAGAGCCTCGTCTCTTGGTCGCCCCCGAGCTTGCGCGCTTTGCATGCTGACCGCCATACGTGAGCCGTCACTGCTTTGAAGGTGGAGAGACCTTTCTTTCCGCCTCCGCTGCCCTTGAGGAGATGTAGCTGTTCTTTCGATAGCTTAAGAATGGCGGTATCGAAAGGGGCCTTGCCGGTGGACGGCTTGGCTGCTGACTTTTGAATGTACTCGACGTGGTCGAAGAGGACGGTCGGCGGTGACCGGGCACGGAGGAGGGTTCGGTCGAGGGAGGGAGGGGCAGAGACGTTGATGCCTCGGGCGATGTCGGACCATGAATTGACGAAGTGAAGCGCGCCGAGCCCGTCGGCGGCAGTGTGATGCACTGCTACGCCCAAGCACACGCCACCGCACTTGAAGAGGATCATCTGCAGTAGATTTGCTTGAGGTTTTAGCCGATGCCGTGGACATGGCGAACAATCGACAAGAACAATGACAAAAAATTAAAGGAGTGAAGATCACCTGAACCATGACAAGGGGGCAAGGAGCGTTGCCGGACTCCACGGATGGCACCAGCATCTGCCTTATCGTATCCGAAGGAGCGAAGTCGTCAAGGACGTCGTCCATGGCGGAGGCGGACCGGGCGACCATGAAGAGGGCGCCCTCCCCGGTGCACTGGATCTCGACCCTGCCGGCTAGGTCCAGCCCGAGCCGGCCGGCCAGGGGGTAGAACGGCACCAGAACCTTGGCCAGCGCCGCCTTCAGCGCTTCTACGGCGAAGGAGAAGCCTCCGATCGGTCGGGCGGCGCTGGGGGGGTAGAAGTAGACGGTGGGGGTGTGGGAGCGAGCCACCAGTA